ATGAAATTTATATGATCTTATTTTTTATATTAATCTCAGTTATGACATTTTTCCATAAATGAAATATCAAAATTAATAATAAAATGAATGCAAATACAAATAACAGTAGAATGTAATAAATGTACATAAAATTATAGTATTTTATGTACAATTCTGATAAAATTTCATAAGAAAGGTACCTATAAATTAATTAGATACCTTTCTTAAGAAATATGAAATTTAATGTCACTCTTAACAGTTTTATTTTAATTTCTTTAGAATATATTTCCCATAAAGCATCATAAACGTAAAGGTGAAAAGCAAAAAAAAAAAAAAAAAAAAAAAAAAGACCGCTGAAAGTTTTCGTTAAAAATAACGGGGTAAATAATTTGTTCACGTAAATGTAAATTATTTCACTTTTCTCCTTCCGTAGAACAAATTAGCCTCATGGAATTCGTAAATATATCATTCATCACATGTCAAGAGACGCGAAAGTTTATGACCTGCTTTGTTTTATTTTCAAATTACATCTTTTTGGCACAAAAGCTAAGTTAAGTTTGGTTCAAAATATTTTAAATAAACATTATAATTTCTGATTTTCTTAAAATAAGTTTTGAAAAATGATAATTGATATTTAAAAAATTTCAAAGTCAGATTTCCATTTTTTTTTAAAATGGAAAAAAATGGTCAATTTTGCTGACTCAAAAAAACTAGATTTTTAACGAAAATTTCGGACGTGCTAGGAACGATTAAAAAATGGAAAAAAAATACCCCAAAAATACTTTGACCTTTCTTCTTAATGAATAACAAACATTTAGACGATAAAATTTTGTTTTCGTCTTGGCGTCTTTTTCATCATGCTATGCTCTTTTTTTAGCGATCTTGTGGAGGTACCTAATTTAGCTTGATAAAATACCTCAAGAGATGAAATGCACTAGCAAAAAAAAAAATCCTTTTGTTTTTATATATATATATATATATATATATTCTCAAAATGTGTGTGTGTGTGTGTGTGATCAGTTGTTTATGCATTTCCAGTTGTCATCTGATTTTAATGAATTTTTTTTGTTTGATAGATAAGTCTTCTGTGCCAGTTTTGAGTCCAAATTGTTGGTGACAATGGCTCTCCACTACTTCCTGACATTATAACTCTCAGCAACATTTTGCCATTTGCTATCTGTTCATGGATATACATATCTTTCATAAAATCTTTAACAAAAATAAATAGTTTAAATTATTACATTAAAATTATTATATAAATTTATTCCCAATGCACCCCCCGGCCAATTGGGGACATGCTCCCAAATGTAGTTACTAATATTGATTTTCATTTGGGCTGACTAAACTTAAACTGTAACTGAATGACAAAAATTCCCAAAATGAAAAAAAAGTTTAAAAAAAAAAATTAAATTGTGCATGCATTGATCACACACACACACACACACACACATATATAAACTGAAAAAAAAAAAAGTCTGACAATTATTTAAGACATTTTTTTTTATGTTTATACATTCTTTTTATAGATACAAATATTTAAGTAAATTTCTGTTTACAACAAACAGAATTAATAACATTTAAACTTTCTGAATGTCTGAGAAATTTTCATAAAAATATAAAAATCTGACAGAATCAAACCTGTATTGTACAAAAAAAAGAATATAAAATGATGTGCCTCAATGAGTAGATGTTATTAATAGCATTTACTTAAATATTTGTATCTATAAAAAGAAAATGTCATATATATATATATATATATATATATATATATATATATATATTAACATAATGAAAAATTATAAAGGGCTCAGAGAGCAGAGTTTGAATTCCATTACATTCACTTATGTGGTAACATCCTTAGGAAAAAAATGACTTGCCTTTTTCTCCCCTCCCCCAGCTATGGATAAAAAGCAGGACAGACTGGATTCTATAGCCTTGAATGGCAGTTGGTCTAGGAGAACAACAACTCTGAATTCAAAACCTGCAGTTGAAATTGAAACTTATTAGGAAACAAAAGATTAGAGTTGAATGAATGCACAAATCTGCTTGTAGCAAATACATTTATTATTTCTAACGCATATCTTTTTATAGGCAATTGGTTTCCTTGCAAACAAGAATGGAGATTGTTTTTCTTTAATGAAATTTTGCATTTAATTCTACTATTGGGTTGCTGCATTGTACGAGAGTTATTTGTTAATAAAAATTGTTGCTTTGTTTACTCTAAAAAAAAAAAAAAAAAAAAAAAATGTTTTTCACGTCATAAAAATGCGTGCCAATAATCATACACTCCGGAACAATCATTTAAAAATGTTATTGTTGAATTATGTTTCTTTTTTTCATAATAAATACTGTTTTAAAAACGCCTGATAATTATGCACCAACCCAATATTAAATATTTCTGCCATGAAAATCAGAGCTTAAAAATAGCACAACAGTTTATTTTTTCTTGGTTAAAAACTATAAAAAATTACGTAATTAAAAGAAAAAAAAGCAGAGGTAGGTTCAAATACTAAAAGTTAAAAAGTCCTCATGCCATTGAAGGAAATTGAATAAATGGAAGTGTAATTTAAGAAATTAAAAAAAAAAAAAAAAATTTGTTTAAATTCTACAGACTATAAGAGATGGTACCATTAATAACCATTTCTGTAGACTAACCTAAAAGCAAGAAGGCAATCCACTCACACTAATACAGGTTTTTTCTCTTCCAGACAAGTTTTATATAGAACAGCATCTTACGATTTCAAAATCAAACATTATTAAAAAAAAAAATATCCTTGTTTTAAAATAAATTGACTCCAACATTCCAAATCATTTATACATTGTTGCAAAAACAACATTTTCTAAGAAATTCTCTGGTACAACAGGGTACACCTGTTGACTTTATCATATAATCGTGTGGAGAGGTTTTACTTTTTTCTTCTTTCTTCATCCAAGAAGATGCAAGGTAAACTGTTCACCTACTAGCAACAGAATTTTATATATATATATATATATATATATATATATATATATATATAAAGATGAAATGGACTGAGTCTGAAAATTTAATATTTTCTGCTTATATGTTAGTTATATAGATACAAATATTTAAGTAAATGGTCTGTTTGTTATAAACAGTATTAACATTTATTGGCCTGAATGTCCAAGAAATTTCATATAAAATCTCTCTCCCCCAACAGGAATTGAACCTGTATCCTACATGTAACCATCATATAACCAGATGTGCTATACCATTTCTCAGATATTCAGTCCGAAAAAGCAGTTAATACTGTGTATTATTAACAGAGTGTTTAATTAAATATTTGTATCTATAAAAAGAACGCATAAACAGTATATAAACTGAATGGGTAAATATAGATAGGTATATGAGTAAGCGATTGTATACACACTTAAATACTCTACAGTGCTCAATGTTATCTTATATTTCTAAAGAAAGTGATGGATTTTTTTTTTTTTTATCACTCCATCATTTTTATTATTACTTCAAACATTATTTTTATTGGATATCTGTATTTGAGTAGATGCTCCGCTTATTTATTAAACAGTATGCTTATTTATTTATTTATTTTTGTCTAAAAATTTAAATTTTTTGTTTTTATTTTTTTTTTACCACTAACTTGAGAAATTAAATTTTTGTACCACTTAATGTTTATATTAGTTATATACAGAAGTCCTTGGAGAATTTAAATCATTGATTTTGTTTTGTAAAATAGGATCCCCAGTTAGTGAAAATCTGCACTGACTTGTAAAATAAAAAAAATGCAATAAAACTAAGACATTATTTAATTAGAAAAGCTTTTAATTTCTTTTATGAATAAGATACATTATGGACACTTTTGTCTTTAGAAAAAAAAAAATTTTTTTTTTTTTGCAATGAAATTATTTTTGCAAGAATCATTTTCATTTTAAAAAATTTTAGAATAATTTATAAAACTTTTGATCTTTTAAATTACTGTATTGATTTGTACTGGTTAGGTGACATTTTTAAGTAAAAACTGTATTTACTAATCAGAAATAGCAAAGCTTATTACAATTCAGCAACGACCAATATTTTATAAAGAATTTTGAATTTTTTGTGTACAAACATGCCAATTTTTGTAATTATGGATGCCCATATATAACATTATCAGAAAATAAGAGTGATAACTATAGTAAATTTAAAGCCAAAGTACCTAAACTTAAATGGACAAAGTATCTTGACAGTGTTTTGAAAATGAAACCTTATATAAATACATATAGACAGCAATATATTGCTTGTTAACAGTTAATATATTTCAACCTTGAAAATGGCTAAATGCATAGCTGAAAGTGCTTGGAAAGAAAGAACAACTGGACAGTTTTTATATAATTTATCCTCCAAAAAGAAAAAAATTAAGATTACATGAGAAATTGTATAAAAAAACTAAATTAAAGCATCTTGTCTGTCATATTCAATGAAACATGCATGAAAGAAGGATTGCCACCGAAACACACACAAGCCATTCACATTATATTTCAAATAATTTTTACAGATATGTCCACTGTAGAAAAAAAATTAGACTTCTGTCAGTCAAGCGGTCAACAAACACCTATTGGCATGTAAAAAAAAAAAAAAAAAAAAAAAATGAATTTCTACAATATTTTAAACTTAAAGTAAGTAATATTTGTTTTAAATAAGATTAAGTGAACTTTAAATCAGCTAATATTCCTCAAATAAAGTTTCAGAAAAGTACATTTTATTTTTGAAATTTTTTTTTAATAAAGTGAATTACATTTCAATAATGAAAGGCTAAAAATCAGTGATTTCAAAAGAAAAAAAAAAATCTTCCTAAGCAATTTAAATTAAATCTATTAGCTTGTTAAAAAAAAAAAAAAAAAGCTCCAAGAAAGATTTTTCATTTTTACAATTCATTTAGGTATTGAGAATCTGTGGCAGTACCTAGATAGCTTTTCAAATCATCCATATCCTTTAGGATATGGATGATTTGAAAAGTCAGCATTGAGAAAAAAAAAGTGAGAAAGCCAACAATGTCATTACTTACTTGCATGCAATGGATAGATAATCCAGGTCCTGTGTAGAGCTTCTTGTGACATATGTGACACTTGAAATGTTTTGCTTTTTGGTGTTGTATAAGGATCTTTTCATCATCAAATTCTCGGTTACAATACCTAAAAAGTCAGTTAAGGTTGAACACGACAAAAACATTTTAGTTCAGCATGAAAAAAAGAGAAAGCAAACAACCGACTGACATTTTCCTTTTCCCCAATTAGTCAAAGGTATGACATCCCCACACTCATTATCTTGGGTGTGACGAGAAGATACCAACCAATATAAAGACCAAATAATCTAAAATCCACTCAAAACATCATTGCTGTTTTAAAGTCTTGCAATGAAAATATCAAGTATTTTTTTTTTTTTTTTTTTTAAATATAGATATTTACTAAGCTCATCTTCATACCCGAGGACTAAAATAGTAAGGTGGGTGAGCTTTTTCAGTGCTTGAAGATTGCTTGGGAAGGACTGCCATCTACGTTTTTGCAAAAACTGTTAGAAGAATACCCAGAATTTGTAAAACAGTAATTAATGCAGGTGGTGGTTTTATTGACAAAAACAAAAAATGATGCTGTTATATGATAATTTTTTTTTTTTTTATTATCATAGGTGAGTGCTTATTTTTTGTCAAAATAAAAGCAAATATACTAATTACTGAATTTTACTTAAAACAACAAATTTTAAGGTGTTTCTAAAGAAATGAAGAGTAACACTAAAGTTTTGGCCAGTAGTGTATATATAAATGGATGTTAGCAGCAGTAACAACTAAAATGGATATCATATGTAATTCAAAGAGAACATAACATAAAATCAAGATGTTGACATTCCACACAACTTCAAACAAAAGCTTAGGAAGGAATCCTCCCCCAGCAATGTTGGAAAGAGCGATAACAACTAGTGGATACGAGAAATCTATTTTCCTCAACAATTGTTTTAAGAAAGATTTTATAAATTTCAACTGAAAGTAGGAACTGGCTGTTCAGTCAAGGAATGCCAAATGTTTCCTTATTCTTATCATCTGACCTCTCACCCCTGGCATTTTCTTTTAAAATGATGCAAAGGATTCCTCTCCCCCAGCTGCATTTTGATAAGGGCCCCTATTTTAAAGGGACATTTCACTGATATTTACAAGTGAACACCCCTTTTGAATGACTTGTCTTAATGCAAATTTGCATGGTCTTTATGCAAATTAAAATTTACCTTTTTTTTTGACATTTATATGACATTACTTCAGAAAATGTTTCAGCAGCCAAATCGATTGCCACCGATTTGAAGAAAAAAAAAAAAAAAAAAAAATCAAAATTTGGTCAGTACAATTTAGTTGATATATTTTGACAGCAATCATTTAGTTGAGATAAAAATCATAATGTCACAACAGGTTTCAAATAAAATCTTTTACAATTTACATAGGCTTCGAACAAGTGTCTTCCATGTTTATTGCTTTATCTTTGATTTTCTGATACATTTTCAAATTGGTCATTTTGGAAATATTGATGATCTTGCATTTTTTATTCCATTCAATCAATCGGTTGACAAGCTTCACTAAATTTCCTATTTCCAAACGACTAAAAATCATTCAAATTTATAATATATACAAAGTTCATTTTCATGACATATATACAAAGTTGATGAATTAGAAAATCAATTTACTAAAATATATTTTTAAATTAGAGCAAAAGTCATTCATTAATTTTTTTCCCTTTCCCTATTACTTATGTATTACTATGACATTTGCATTGTAACCAATTATAGGTTAAATTGTTGACAGTCTTCCCTTATATGCAAAAATCAATGAGAGATCCACTTGAAAATGAAAAACAAAATTAAACCAGAAGCTGAGATTAGAAACAATACACATGCTTGCTGGCATTTTATCGAACCAGATCTTGGCCAGAAAGGATTCTTTAAAAAGAAATCCAATTCAGAACTAGGCTCATCAACAAATACAAAATAATGCTAAGCAGTTTTTATCTTGCCATTTACATTCATGTGGGTGGAGCAGGTTGGTAGAGAAAGCCAAAAATAATTAATTTTTATTCATGTTACCAATTAAAAAGCAATGTTTTTGTTTCTTTCTTTCTGGGTCAATGGAAAAGGTTTTAATAATATATACAATCATTAAGACAACATTGTTATTTGACACACACACACACACAAGCATTGCTTAAAAGACTATAAAAACAGAAATCACCTTATTTTTCTTTTTTTTAAAGAAAAGGTGTATGCAAGAGGGCATGTCAGGATAACTGAAATGATAGTGCTATTAAAAAGTAACAGAGTATGTAGATAAGAAAACTGATAAACTTACCCACCTAAATGACCCAGAAAAACTTAAGAGCTCAACTTTTTTTTTTTTTTTTGCTTTGAAAACATTTGCGGGGAGGGTAATTCATTGCATTTTTTTTCTGCAATTTAGGAAACAAATACTTCAGATGGGTCATAGATTAGACCGTGAACTGGACAATTTACAGTAAATAATCACCAATAAAGATGTTTATATATGAAAGAGTTTAATAAACGAGAAATATCAACTAAAAGCACTTAAATTAATTATTCTAAATTTGTGGTGTATGATAACTTTTAGATTAGAATAACAGACAGGTTACAAATCTCTGATTCATTCTATGAAGTTTGTTAATGATTGCCTCTATTAGAATATAATGAACCAAGCAAAAAAAAAATACAAACATGTGAAGAGACCATTTATGAAGAGTATTTCATGATCAAATAAATACCAATCATACCCTGAAAAAAATACTTAACAAATTTCAGATAATCACGGTATGAGATTGGAAATAGGGTGGTCTACAATTGCAAAACAAGAGAAATCATTGATAGATTTCAAATGAAGCAATTACTTTGCCAACACATGCAAAAGTGCCTCCAATTTGAAAGATCCAGGTAGGATTGAACATGGCACCCTCACTATTTATATCAGTTTGATGGATTTGTTTTCTGGTTTATCAACCCTTTGTGAGTTATTTAAAGCCAAAATATTTTTTTCAAGTGAATTTTTTGGGGGAGATAATGATTTTTCCAGATACAAGTCATACTACTTAACCCATAGCTGGGGGAGGAGAAAGTAGAAATTCATACACCCTTTCGCAAGGGGATCTGTGCCTAAATTAATATAATAAATGCAACTAAAATTCAAACCCTGCTCTCAGATTTCTCTTTCAGAGACACCCCATGCATTTTTACACCACCCTCACATCCACGTGTTTATAGCAGTGCAAAGGGATTTCAAATATGGGGATGCTTTTGTATACAAAATAATTTTAGAAATTATTCTATTAATTTTAACATTAAAATAAAAACGTTATATTTTCACATTGCACTGAATAAAAGCAAGAATTTCACGAAACGGCAAATGAATCAATTTAAAAACATGTCTTAAATGAGCTTTGACGAAGAAAATAAGGAGAAAAAAATCATTTTTACAAGAGTCTATGAAGACAAAACAAGAAGTATTCCCATTTTATTTCGTGATAACTTTTTTAAAAGATAAAAAAAAAGAAAAGAGCACTTCAAATACACGTTGACACCAGAAATTATTTTTAAAAATCGATTCTTCAACCTTTATCGTTAAAAATAGTCACGTACTTAGAAATTAAAACTTAAAATTCCAATTTGTAGATAAAAAAGAAATCTGATTATTTACATTAATAATTAAAACGAAAAGATGAAATAAAAATTGATAGATTTGAAATGAAACAAATTTTTATGACTTCATTAAAGACGTAAATAAATGAAAATGGTCGTCTATTTCGATAAGCATCGAAGTATCAATAAATAACAAGATGAGTCATATTTATTTATTTATTTAGGTTTTAATAATAAATAATTCATTTTTACATCTTCTTGCTTGACGCCATCTCTATTTTTTCTTTTGTCATTAAACACAAACAAAAATGTAGATTTATTGATCACAGAGGGTTTTTTTATTTTTGAACTTTATTATTATTCAATGCTCTCAATTATTTTCTTTTTTCTTGTATTATTTATAATCAGAATTAAAATTTTGGCAAAAGTATATCTAAAAAATACAACTTTTTTTTTTTTTTAAAATGTAAAAATAGAAATTACCTGGAATGATTGAAAGAACTTAATTATTTAATTTAACCCAGAAAAATATTAGGTTTTTTTTTCTTTTTCTTTTTAGATATTCAGCTTTTCATTTCTTTTTGGTTTTTAGATATTCGGGTCTTCATTTAAAGTAAAGATAAAGAAAAAAAGACGAAGTTTCCTAACCCTTTTTTTTCCAAGTGATTTTTCAAACAGACCACAATTATCAAAGACAATAACAGTTTTAAAAAGAATATATATTTTTTTATTTTTATTTAAAAAGCGGTTTTCGTATTATTTGTGTTTATTTTAAAAAGAGAGAAAAAAAAACAAGAATTAAAAGAAAAAAAAAACAACTAAAAAAACAACTAAAAAAAAAAAACAAAACAAAAAACGTTGTGTTGTGTTTAAAAAAACCATTTAAAAATGAAACCAATTACGACGTGACGTTTTGGTTATGGATACTAAGTGTTACGTATAATAATAAAATTATTTATAGGTACCTAATGTTTACCAAAATAAAAAAAAGTATTTAAAAAGGAAAAAGAAGATATTTTGCGTATTTGATTTAAAAATAAAAGGAAATCATGGCAAACAACAGAGACTGAATGAAAATAACACGTGGATCGGGGGGGGGGGCAGATATCATAAAGAAAAGATGATTTTTTTAAAATCTTTTAATGAATCAGTATTTAATCGATGATATAAAATAATTAAATCTTAATTAAAATTTGGAGTAAAATTGAGCAATGACATTTTATTTTGTGTGCGGAAATTTGAAAGAGAATCAAAAGTAAAAATGACTAAAGAAATAAAATAAAAAAAAATGGCGAAAACGAGAGAAATTTCATTTCAATAGAAAACTAGAGAAAATACAAATTAAACTTGTAAAATCTTTAGAGAATTGTCGATAGAACGTCAGAATAATTCTTTAAAATGTTATATTTAAAGAAATTGGATTTTTAAAAGTTCCAGGAATAAAAAAAAATAGGAAGAAAGACGATTGTTTGATCACCAAGGCAATTTTTAATGTTTTTGTTTAGGTGAGGAGAAAAAAAAGAAACAACTTTAAACAAAACTGGTTCTAAAGACAAAAAAAAAAAGGTCGAATGAAGTATTAAAAAAAAGAACAGCCATTAATAATCAAAACGGAATATCTTAGTCTTTGATTAAAATTATAGAAAATATTAAAAATAATGCCAGAAAATTTAGCGGCGGCAAAAAAAAAACGAGTGACAACGAAAGGAAATAAAGAGAGAAATTGAAAATAAAATTCCGCTTTTCTTTTTTCTTGATAACGAAAAAAAAAAAGAAAGGATACCAGCACCATGGCTTCAGTTGCTTCTTCTTTTTGCGACCCATGTTCCTTATAAATCTGTAGATGTAGAAAAGATTCGGAGAAGAATGGTGATGAAACGAAAAAAAAAAAAAAAACAACTTATGAAACAAAGGAAACCCGTCGGTGTACAGAGGCTCGCCTTGACAAATATGGCGTCCCTAATGACCCGGATGTACGGGAGAAGTTATTATTTCGCTAGTAACTTATGACAGGAGCAACCATAGAGTTTTATCATCTAAGGGAGGTAAGCAAGGTACAAAAAATAATTAGAGAGCTCGAATGTTAGACAAATCAAATACATTACACAATTTGGAATCTCAGAAGTTACTGTTAGAAATGGTTTTTATTTTTTAAGTCTTTATATTATAACTGTGTCATGTATTGGTTGCGTATGAAGCCATTTGTTGAATTTCTGAAGAAGGAATAGTTAAAAATTCAAAATTTAAAATAAATGAAAAAAATTAGTGATTTTAAAATTTTTTAATTTATATTGATTTCAAAGTAACACAGAAAAACTTTATGAATTCAAAAATGTTTGTTTTAAATTCAGTTAAAATATCTCCAAAACTTTGTGAATTGAGGAAATCAGTTTTATTTCTTCCAAATGACAAGGAATCAGAGTTAAAGTGAGAGGTTTCGTAGTTCTATAGACTTTGTGATTTGAAAAACTCAACTCAACTTCCACGGAGATTATGATTTGAAGAACTGAATTTTCTATCTGAATTGGAATTTCATCCCAAATTTGAGTTTTGGCCTAAATCAGTCTTTTGGCAGGAATTGGACTTATAGCTCGATTCAGAGTTAAAGTGAGGTTTTGAAGTTCCATGGAGTGAATTGAGGAAATCAAAGGTATTTCTTCAAAATTATCATTGCTGTTTTCTAAGCTGGACCAGAGATTGCTTTACTTTTGGGTAGAAGGCCAAATTTAGCCCACTGCAGAAGTTAGCTTAAAAGTCTGCACAGATTGCAGCTTTTAAGCTAGTATAAAATAAAAGAATAAGATAGGTTTTATTTACAGTGTGGACTATTTTGGCACGTCTTTGCCACAAACATGAGTTGTAAGCAAAAGTTTCAAGTTTTTTTTTTACCTTTTTTAATTTCAGAAGAAATATGCCACTAAAAACTGATTTTCTGCAGGAAAACTGCTGCACCTGATAGTTTTTGCATACAGGTAATGCTCGTTAAATATTTGCAGTTATTAGTTTGAAATCACGTGTTGCTTGTGGCTTATTTAAAAATCACCTGTTATTGTAGAACTGAGTCTAACAAATTTAGTTGAGTCCAGTTAATAGACTCATTGTGTAACAGAATAGGCAAAACCAGTAGAGATATCAGAAAAATAAAAAGCAAACTAGTGTGACTATACAAATTGAGTTCTTCAGTCACTGGCTTGTTTATTTAAAAATAAATACGTCTAAATTCCCCTTCATCCCTGCCGTGTGCCAATGACTTAGGTGAAGACCAAATCAGTCAGATTTTGATCCCGGCTTGAGGTAATCGGATGTCTAGCTACACTGATGAGATGCGAAACAGTCTGTCTGGGGATGACATATATATATATATATATATATATATATATATATATATATATATTATTACTATAAAAAAAAAATCTGATTCCTTCGCTACATAAGAGTTCTCATGTTTCAAAAACTTCAATATCGTTATTAAAATTAAATTGAATTAAAGTATCAAGCTCTGTTTCATCCTCGTGTGAAAAAAAAATCTTTAGACTTTTAACGGCATAATAATAATGTCAATAGCTCTCTGTCACTGAAACAGACTAGATAATATGCGTCTAATGAATGTCATCAATTGCTTTAAAATAGACACCCCGACCCGACCCTAGCTTGACTTGACCTCTTTCTGAAAGTAACTAATATGTTGATACAAATTGTTAACCCTTACACCCCTTATTGAAATATTTGCTTCAGCCATTTCCATAGTAATTAATTTTATGAATGAATATGCTTATAAAGCTGCGTAAATTTTAAGATTAGTTATTCCAAAAAATTCACTTGAGGATGAAACAGAGCTTGATACTTTAATTCAATTTGATTTTAATAATTATATTGAAGTTTTTGGCTCCTGTTTTTGAAACATGAGAACTCTTATGTAGCGAAGGAATCATATTTTTAAAAAATAATTATAATTTAGGCTCTACTTTTGTATTGAGCACTGTTTTTTAAAAATAAAAACAAAAATACTAAAGAACTTCAGATTATTTACCTAATGTGTTCTTTCCTATTTTTGTATATATTTGCACATTACACATATATATATATATATGTTGATATGACAAACAGAGAAAACTTTACAGATGACCTGTCTAAGTTCTGGATTATCATGTCACAAAAAAAAAAATAACTTCCTCACCCACCTTTTGAGCTTAATTTTCTATTTAGCATAGATCTGACATTTAATTGGTTGATCAAGACAAAGCCACAAGTGTAATTTTAATTCTGACATTGTGTTTTCTCCTGACACCCATTTTTCAGAAAAGAGGTCAAAATTTTGCTTTTGAAAATTTTAAAAACTTATTTAATCACCAGTCACTTACCATTCACCTGAAGAGGTACAACGTTATACCAAAACACGAAAGCTATGGTTTTGTTTTAATATTTAAAATAAAATAATAATGATAATATATTGCTTTACTTTGCATTGAGCACTTTCGTCAAAAAGTGAATACTAAGAACAGTGGAATTTTACTTCATCTGTTCTTTCTCTTATTTATATATATATATATATATATATATATATATATATAAAAATTCTAACATTGAAGTCAACACTCAGAGGTGACAGGCTGTTTCATGCTGGACAAACCTGACAATTATTCCAGCATGAAACAGCCTGTCACCTCTGAGTGTTGACTTATGTTAACTTATATATATATATATATATATCAAAAACAGGGTTTGTCTGTTTAATTTTTTATCATATTTTTCCAATAGTCAGATAAGGTGTTCAGTATTGTGCCTGAAGTTCATGTTTTGTTAATTTTGTTAAGTACTTTTGACTTTTGCAGTCATTATCAAAATCTGATGTGGTGTCTTTGTGGTTTTTAAAATTCCTTTGCATCCTTGAAATAATCCAGTGTGATGTCATGTGTAACAGCTTTTGGGAAAGAGATCATAAATTAATTTTATTTTGTTAATTTATATATATCTACGTACGTGTTTTTGGGCATATAAATAGTAGGTCCTTACTAGATTAAATATTCGTTAAATCTTACTTATTATAAAACGCAGATTGTGTGTGTGTGTGTGTGTGTGTGTGTGTGTGTGTGTCTGTACGTTTATATATGGGATAAATCGTATTTCCTACATTTTCAACCGATTTCAACAAAACTTCATTGGGACTACGTAAAATTACCTTGTGGTGGTTCTGACAGCGCCAAAAATTGGAAAAACACAATTGTTTTTGCATGAAATCAATTTGAAAACACGATTAAGAGGCATCGCTGAATGAAAGGGGGACAACTCATATCGAGTTATACTTATTATAAAACCCAGGTTGTGTGTGTGTGTGTGTGTGTGTCTGTGTTTGTTTACATATGGGATCGGATTTCCTACATTTTTCAACCAATTTCAACAAAACTTCACTTTTTTTTGGCCAGGTAGTGTTTCTTATTGTTTTGCACACTTTTTCTTTATTTTTACATTCAGAATGCTTTAAAAATTCCATTTACAAGACAATTGTTTATAATAAAATTCTATTCAATCGGTAGACTCATAACGATTGAAAACAATGTTTTTGTTTGAGTTTGGGTTTGACCAATTCGTAAAAAAAAAAAGAAGAAAAAACAAAAAAAAAAATTAAGACATGCGTGTCCGTCAACCTTAAACAATAATCTTTGTCAATTTTATTTTTCAGTCTTTATGATGGTCGATACTTGATCTATCTCTTACTGTTTCATCCCCAGGCAATGCCGGGCTCTACTGCTAGTTTTATATGTTTATGTTAAATTTGTAACCTGTAGGTGATATTACTTGCTTTGTCAAATTTTCTTGATTACACATCGGTTCTCTTATAAAAGCCCTTCATTTTTAGGTCCCCCACCCCCAATCTTCTTTTTTTTTTCCTCTCTGTCTCATCTTCTGGATTTTAAGTTTAGATCATATCGTTTTTTATTGTGCGTAGTGTTACCACAAATGTATACACACGTTTCCGGTGTCTGTTTTATAATTTGAATTTAGGTCAGCAATTCGGTAGTGAATTATGCATCGAAAAATCATTCATATTTATCTGTATCTCACTCATTTAAACCGTTATTTAACTCCTCTCTTTAAAACTTCTCCCTGTTAAATTTTAATCCCCACCTTCACCTTTAGGCCTTCCTGTTCTTCTTTCTTCTGTTACACCCTCTCTCTAGAGCTTTCATACATTTCCCTCTTACACTTGTCTCCCACACATACACTCTCACAAAAATTTTTTTTTTTATACCTGGAGTTATATTTTCCGATTTTTTTTGAATTTGTAGGTCTGATGAATTGGATCATGATTATGATTCCAATGTAATAAATTATAACCATGTAATATTAGTGTTTGAGCCTTTTTTATTATACTCTTACTCTGTCCTTGACATTGAGTTCTACCTGTATTCTATCCTCTTGGGAATTTATATATATATATATATATATATATATATATATATATATATTGACCACTAATATTATCTATTTATCTATCTATCTACATATATATATATATATATATATATATATATATATATATATATATATATATATATTTTTGTTTAAAAAAAGGTTCTTTAAGGCAAAATATTAAAATTTGATGACAGACATTTTGTGTCAATTAATTTTAAATAAATCAACTTTTCAAAATTACTAATAATTCCAAGACAAGGAGGAAATTCCATCAGAAATTGTTCAAAGTTCATTTTGAAAGAAAAGTATAAGAAATATGGCCCAAGGTTTCACTTTCTTAAGTCATCATAGGTAGAGATAATTGATAACTTTCATAAAACTAATGAGTTTTGTGATGTAAGCAAGGTGTG